CATCCATCTGGCCCATCAAGACTCACTCTCATTTCATCAGTCCATAAAACCTTAGAAAAATCAGTCTTGAGATATTTCTTGGCCCAGTCTTGACGTTTCAGCTTGTGTGTCTTGTTCAGTGGTGGTCGTCTTTCAGCCTTTCTTACCTTGGCCATGTCTCTGAGTATTGCACACCTTGTGCTTTTGGGCACTCCAGTGATGTTGCAGCTCTGAAATATGGCCAAACTGGTGGCAAGTGGCATCGTGGCAGCTGCACGCTTGACTTTTCTCAGTTCATGGGCAGTTATTTTGCGCCTTGGTTTTTCCACACGCTTCTTGCGACCCTGTTGACTATTTTGAATGAAACGCTTGATTGTTCGATGATCACGCTTCAGAAGCTTTGCAATTTTAAGAGTGCTGCATCCCTCTGCAAGATATCTCACTATTTTTGACTTTTCTGAGCCTGTCAAGTCCTTCTTTTGACCCATTTTGCCAAAGGAAAGGAAGTTGCCTAATAATTATGCACACCTGATATAGGGTGTTGATGTCATTAGACCACACCCTTCTCATTACAGAGATGCACATCACCTAATATGCTTAATTGGTAGTAGGCTTTCGAGCCTATACAGCTTGGAGTAAGACAACATGCATAAAGAGGATGATGTGGTCAAAATACTAATTTGCCTAATAATTCTGCACTCCCTGTACATTTCGACCTATGCTCCCTAACCTTGCCCTATGCTTTACTTCCTTTGAAGTTCACACTGTCCATCTATTTAAACCCACTCAGAAACTGCAATAATTACCACTGTAGGATTAAGGGACATGGAAAATTGCACCCAGACCACTTTAATGAGCTGAAGTGGTCTGGGTCGCTACAGTGTCACATTACTGGGAGTATTATTACTGTGGAGCTCTGTTATACACTAAAACACACCAACAATATGGAGCTCCAGAAAATAGGGACATTAGGATAGAAGAAAAAGGGACAGAGAGATTTGGGCTAAAAATAGGGGCCGTCTAAAATGCCCACGTGAGAAGCCATTCTTTTTGTGGACTATCCTAACTTAGGGGAAGGAGGAGGAGAAAAAGGAACAGAATGTAGTTCTTACCTTGAAAGGCATAAAGACAAATCAAAACTGGGCTGCCGAGACAAAAAGGACCCCCCAAAAATGGGCAGACGGCAGAGTAATTTTACTTTTGGATGGTGATTGGACTGTAGTAAGTGCAGCTTATCCCAACACTCAATATATATGCTATATACCAGGGGTGTCCATAAGATAGATCCCCAGATGTTTTGAAACCACATGTTCCATGATACTTTGTCATTCTAAAGGCAGGCCAAGAATCATGGGAGTTGTAGTTCTATAACACATGTGGATCTTCTTTTGGGCAACCCTGTTATATACCATGTGAATATTGTTACACAGTGCTTTGGAACATTTGGTTGTATACACTGAGTAGTTACCCTGGCAATATGGTTGCATTAATAAATAAACTGAACTAAATTCTCAAGCAAATGATTGAAGCTAACACAGCCAACCGTCATTGCTTTTACATTTGTAAAAGAAAGCTATATATTCTAGCTCTCTCATTGCTATCGTTAGAAACAGGAGAAAACAGTATAGAGAAAAGGTGCAAGTATTTTCTTTTTAACTTTTAATGTTTGCAAAAATCATGAAACTGGCAAGTACATTTTTAAAGATTAGTTTTTGGATACTTTATCAGATGATTTCTTGCACCTTGTACACTCACACTCAAGTTTGCACCTTACAGACAGGGTTTATGCTAAGTTGACAAACGTAAAGTGTTTGTGGGGGAAAAGTATAATTGTTATATGTGCAATTTGCTTTGTTCTGAACGAAATTCATCTGATTTCGACAATTTAGAAGTGTACAAATTTCTGAATTGACAAACAAAAAATGGAATCAAAACAAATTGCTGCAGATCCATGGATTTTCATAAGGATAGCTAATTAGTGACTGGTCTGTTAGCAAATGAAATGGTGAAATTAAGGAAAAGGGCATTTCTTAATATTCCTCTTTCGGTTGTTTAGTAGAATAGTACCTGATTTGGCACTCTTAATTATCTACTAAATAGCTTCAAGAGATAATTAAGAAAAGGGCTTTTCTTAATTTTGATCTTTCAGCTGTTCAGTAGATATATGACTAATTTGGTATCCTGTGTATATCACATATATTTAATAAATATGCAGCATAATATCCAATATGAACCACACAAACCTCATTCCAATACCATGCCGTCTATCCACATCTACCAATATTCGGTGTGCACTTTGGAACGCTCGCTCTATCTGCAGCAATATAAAATCAATACACAACCTCTTCATCTCAAATTCTTTCACACTTCTTGCATTCACTGAGTCCTGGCTGTTCCCATCTGATACTGCTACTCCTGCTTCTTTATGTTATGGTGGTCTACAATTCTCCCACACTCCCAGACCAAACAACTGTAAAGGAGGTGGTGTAGGCATCCTTCTCTCCCCTCAGTGTACATTTCAACCTATCCTCCCTGCCCTTGCCCTATGCTTTACTTCCTTTGAAGTTCACACTGTCCATCTATTTAAACCCATTCCTCTGAAAATTGCCATCATTTAATCACCCCCCTCCACTCCTGGTCATCCTAGGCTATTTATAGAACACTTTTCTTCCTGGCTACCCCATTTCCTCTCCTCTTACTCTCCTTCCCTCATTCTCTGGGACTTTAATATCCCAATCAATAACCCTAACTACCCTGATGCCTCCTGTCTGCTCTCTATAACCTCCTCCGTTGGACTCACACACTGGTTCAATTCATCAACTCATAGAGCAGGAAACACTTGACCTAATCTTCACCAATCTCTGTACCACCTCTAATCTCTCCAATATTCCATTTCCTCTATCTGACCACCATCTGCTGTCCATTGACATCTGCATACCCTGTACCCAAAGTACCTTACCCTCACCACATCAGTCTTGCAAAAACCTCCATTGTCTTGACCTACAGCAATTCTCCACCAGCCTCCAAAGTCTCCTTTCACCAATCTCACCTGCCCTAACACTGCAACCTCCCTCTACAACTCCACTCCATAATAGCTTTCTAGTTACCACTCTATGGCAGCCAAGCGGGCAAGGTCAGGTCCCAGCCCCAGAACTGAGAGATTTTGTAACACCGCATTCCGGTAGGCATAAATCGCCCAGCATCGTGACTGGGCAGGACTGCCGAAATCGCCGTCCTCCTCAAGGGCCTTCCATAACAGGCCGGGGCCACCGTAGCCTTTCCCTTCCAGCGAGGCGCCCTTCTGCCAGCCAGGCATCCTGCTGTATTGCATGCCACCACAGCGCCCAGTACGAATTATCCAGGATCAGTTTCTGCTCCACTAGGGATTCCAGGTGCCTTACCAGCTTTGCCCCGGGCTGCTCTCCCAGAAGCGACATCCGTTGGGCTACCTGGTCCCACAAACGCTGTGTTATACTGGGGAGTCTCTCTCCTCGCTGAAACAGGATCTCTTTCATCTCTTCCATCTTCCTAGCGTTGCCCTCTGGCTACATCCCTCCATTCGAGGTCACTCGTGTCCTTGAGTGCAAACGCTGATTGGAGGTCAGCTTGCTCCATTCCGCTCCTCTGCAACTAGGGGCACCGCACGAATGCTAGCATTGTCCTCAATTATAAATCCATGATACCGGTGTCTCCAGGATGCTTCTATACTCACTATGAAGCCATCCCACTTCTACCACCAGATGTGGCGGACTGCCTGGCCCCCCGACTGGGTGCCTCCACCAATCGCTGTTTCCTAGTAACTCCGAGTACTTTCAAGCACTCCACCTGACACCATAACCACTGCAGTCCCTGTTGCCAGCATTACAGCTTGGCTGGGGTCTCACTGTCCTCTGCCGACCCTGGACCCAAGTCAGGGATCCAGCTTCCAGTGAGACAACCTCATCACCAAGAGAGGGTAGCAGTATGCTCTTAGAAGAGCACATGATTATAATCCAAGGGAGTATAGTGATTATAGCAATCCCCAGAGTAGCGAACATAGCTGTTCCCTCCAAACATGAGACGAGGCTCTATGTTGGTGGTGAAGGAGAACTGGTTTAATGGGAGCCACACACAGCCTTTTATGTGAATCCTCATGCAAGGGGTTCACCGTGACATATTCCAGGGGAATTCCCCATTGGACCTGAGAGGAGACTAGTTAGAGCAAACATGCCCAGGACACTCCCACACAAAACAGGTTTAATCCCTGAGAGATAATTGAGTCTGGATCTGTACTAAACCCAATTATCTCCAGGCACAGAAAACATAAGTTTTAAAAACATCCCAAAAGTACCCCCAAAAGACATGAAAACCCACAAAAATCACACCCCCTGATAGCCACGATCTGGGTGACCAAAATATCCAAAAATCACCCAGATCAGTTCAGGGATTCAGGATTTCCATAGAAGTCATAATTTTGACCAACCGTGCACATGGTCATATTCCCAAAACAGTTCCAGGGAATCAGGGCTAACAGTCTGTTTCTCTTTCTGGAGTACAAAAGTATAAATCACATGAACAGAGCCTTTTTAAGTGCATTGGGCAAGGTATATTGCAGGGCCCATACTCCTGAGGCAGGAGGCTGGCAAGCAGGCTTCTCCAGGAGCCCATGGCGAGGTTCTGTTCGCCACAAGGTTTCTGCCTGCTCCATTCCTTCCACCCCACCACTCTCGATCCTATTCCCTCGTATCTCATCTGCACTTTGTCTCCTTCTCTTGCTCTACCTCTCACTAAAATTTTCAGTCTCTTCCTCTCCTCTGGCACATTTCCTCTAATCTTCAAACATGCAACTGTAACCCTGATTCTAAAAAAGCCCAACCCTGACCCTAATTCCCCGTCCAACTACTGCCCTATCTCGCTACTGACGTTTGTCTCCAAGATCCTTGAGCAAGTTGTGTATGCGAGATTGACAGACTTCCTCGAATCCAACTTTCTGCTTGACCCACTTCAGTCTGGATTCTGCGCTCGTCACTCTGTTGAAACAGCTGTGACCAAAGTATACAATGATCTTATCACTGCTAAATCCCATGGCCACTACTCTATACTAATTCTCCTAGACCTTTCTGCTGATTTTGACATGGTTGATCATCAACAACTTCTTCTCATCCTCCGTAAGCTCAGTCTACGAGATACCACTCCTGGTGCTCTGCCTCTTCTCCCCAATCCCTCTCTGTTGGTATTCCCCAAGGGTCTGTCCATGGTCCCCTATTGTTCTCAATCTACACTGCCTCCCTTGGTAAACTCATTAGCTCCTTCAGCTTCCAGTATAATTTCTAAGCGGATAACACGCAAAATAATCTTTCCTCCCCTGATTTCTCACCACTCCTTTTGACTGGTGTCTCTGACTGTCTCTCTGCTATTTCCAACTGGATGGCTGCTCATTTCCTTAAACTGAATCTGTCCAAAAAATAAATTCTGGTCTTCCCTCCCTCAGGTGTTGCTACTCCCTTATCTGTATCCCTCCATGTCAATGGTGCTACCATCCGCTCTACTTCTAAGGCTCACTGCCTAGGTGTTCTCTTTGACTCTGACCTCTCCTTCACCCCTCATGTCCAATTAATCGCCAAATCCTGTCGCTTCCATCTTAAAAACATTGCTCGCTCGACCCTATTAAACGCCTGATGTGGCAAAGGTGCTTGTCCATGCTACTGTTATCCGCTTCTTAGTGGTCTAACGTGTTCACAACTTGCCCCATTACAGTCTATAATGAATGCGGCAGTGAGGCTCATCTTCCTGCCGCCCGCACCTCCCACGCCCCCCTCCTTTGTCAGCCCCTCCATTGGCTTCCCGTAAGATATAGGGCTCAATTTAAGATCCTGACATTTGCTTACAAATCTCTAGACAATGCTGCTCCCACCTACTTATCCTCACTAATACAGAAATATGTCCCATATAGGCCCCTACGTTCTGCCGGAGACCTACGTCTAACCTCTGTACATACTCCTACCTCTGATGCTCACCTTAAAGACTTCTCTAGGGCTGCACCATTCCTATGGAATGCCTTTCCCCGCTCTGTTAGACTTTCACCCAATCTCCACTCAATCAAAAAATCTTTGAAAACTTACTTCTTTAGGAAAGGATATTAATTAAACTGTGAACAGCTTTCCCTCCCCGCACCCTGATTCCTTCCCTGAAACTGTCATAAAAATAAAGCACTGAGCCCTCAATGAACACTATCCTAGCAACCTACTTTTCTACCCTACCCTTACCTTTTTTTTATGTCTCTATACCCCTGTCCCGCTGGCATGTAAACTCATTAAGCAGGGCCCTCAACCCCTCTGTTCCTGTGCATCAAACTTGTCTGGTTACAAATACGTGTCTGTTAGGCCACCCATTGTACAGCGATACGGAACTTGTTTGTGCTATATAAATAATTATTATTTATATATATATATATGTGATTTCCATATTTAATGGATTGTGTTTAGAAGACAGCTCTCTATTTTGGTTTCCCAAAACAGAATGTATGCTGCATGTATATAGAATGCATGTGCTGCATATACAATGTATATGAAATGTATGTGCTGCACGTATATAGAACGTGTAGAATGTATATGCTGCATGTATAGGGAATGCACATGCGGCATGTATACCGAATTTATATGCTGCATGTATATAGACTGTATGAGCAGCATGTATACATAATATATGTGATATATGCATATAGAATGTATGTGCTGCATATACAATGGATATAGAATGTATGTGCTGCATATACAATGGATATAGAATGTATGTGCTGCATGTATGTAGTATGTATAGAATGTATGTGCCGCATGTATACAGAATGTACATGCTGCATATATACGTAGTGTAAATGCTGAATGTATATATGTGCAGCATGTATACAGAATATATGGGATGCATGTATATAGGATATATACATAGAATATAGGTACACAATCCCGGAAAATAGCAGTGTGGATACCAAAGTGATACCAGATAAAATTTTCAAACATTGCTCCAATAATGCTGGTTTTGTTGATATAATATAGGATGTATAAAAACAAGAATAATGGTTTCAGATTACTCTTAATCATTTAAGCACGTCAATTTGATGTAAATGGGCTGGTTTTACATATTGATCTGGTATCGCCTGTGTTTTTGTTGAGATAGAATTCCAACTCCTATTGATCATTTGCATTATATTATCATCTTTCACAACATGGGAGTTGGAATTCTCCAAATGTGTGATCAATAAGGTTGTCATATAGCAACCGTTCGACAAGCGGGTTGATTGCATAAGGAAATTACCAATCAAGCTTTCATCAGGATGTCTCTTGGCCAGATACTCCTAGCAAAACGTTAAAGCATCAAACGTGATTCCCTGGAATGATGATGCCTGGAAATTTCAACAGAGGAAATGGGAAGAAAAGAGCTGAATTTATGAGATGTGAGTAAATAATGGTGCAAAAGGCACATGTCTAAAGAGGTAAAATACTAAATCTCCAAAACTCTTGTACAGTTTGGAAAGTAACACAAAGTATCACCTATTTGTCTGGATATAAATATGTTAAAAGATGTTGACAGATTAGCAGTAATGTCTCCTCCGGTTCTGGCTCCTGTAACCATTACTACATTAGATGAAGGGTGACGATCTCAGGACAGGTAACTGAAAAATAATGCTTTCTGCTGCCAAATAATCCAAAAATCTTCTTTTGAGAAAACGAGCACATATCATATATTCTAATGGTGATTCATCTTGGCATCCCAGATACTGCATGCCCCATAGTATTAAGAGGGAAATGTAGTTTACACACAGTTGGGGTGCCAGATATGGTTTGTCATGACTAGAACACGTTTTTAAAAGCTACAGATGGGAAAAAATGATCTCCTAATGGTGCAGGATTTTAAGGTTTTCAAACCCAAATAAATCCCATAGAACAGAATTCTGTGGGATAGGTCAGAGATATGGAACCTTTTGGCACTCCAGATGTTGTGGACTATATCTCCGATAATGCTCTTACAGCCATAATGCTGGCAAGGCATCAGTGGAGATGTAGTCCACATCACCTGGAGTGCTGAAGTTTGCCTACCCATGCTATATGTATTCAAATACCTGACGCCGAGCTGCTAGCAAACCGCAACTCTCTTTGAGCTCACAACACTTCGACTATCAACATTTCCAGATAATTGTATTTTGCAGTAACCCATGAAGTTGTAAATATTTGTCTTCACTTTTATTGACTCACCCCAAAAGGATGTATATTAAGCATCTGTGAAACAGTGGAAGTTTTAAAATGACAAATACGTATTTGAATATTGGATCTTTATTCACTCATCTGGGAAATTCACAAGAATTAAAAACAGGCCAAAATCGCCAATTTGGAAAATGATTTTACCTCAGCTAACAAGGCCTAACATGTCCCAGAAACCTTACATCATTCAAACGGGATGTTTTTAACATCTCTTATTTATTTTTGCCACACCTACTATATGTGACAAAATGGTATTCCTGCCTCCGTGCAAATATTCAAGACACTGTCTCAAACTGAGCAGGATAAGAGAAACAAATACAATCTCTTTATTTTCCTGTCTGTGTAAAATGATCAATGAATAAATTAAAAACTATGAACAAATTAATGGGGCATAAAATGTTGTAATCTATATGTGAAATTGCTGTAATATCCTGTGTTTATGTGATAGCTAAGCATTCCTCGTTTAAATACATTTTAGGCTATTCTGTTCACAACAAAATGAGCATGGCTGTGAAGGGTTAACACTGTGTATCAAAACAATAGATAACAGTGACCCAATATGTGCTAAATGCAAATGTGTAAGAAACTCTGACACCTTGGTGAGGTTCCCTTAACCTTCACCAACAAAGAATTATAGACACGACAAGGTATAAGGTGGAGTATCTTACATGCACTTTTCAAGTAGTCCTTTGCTTAGGTACATTTCATACAGTATACTCTAAAAAGAATAAAATAGCAGAAAATAGTGCAATATTGCTTGTACTCTTAATTTTGCAAATTCAATAAGGTCTTGACAAATGCAAACTTACAAGGATGGAGCCACTAAAGTTTAGGCTCTTGAGCCTAAACTTTAGTGGCTCCATCCTTGTAAGTTTGCATTTGTCAAGACCTTATTGAATTTGCAAAATTAAGAGTACAAGCAATATTGCACTATTTTCTGCTATTTTATTCTTTTTAGAGTATACTGTATGAAATGTACCTAAGCAAAGGACTACTTGAAAAGTGCATGTAAGATACTCCACCTTATACCTTGTCGTGTCTTAACACTGTGTATCACCTTATTATGTAAGCACTTGTACTGAAACCAAGAACGTAAATAGCAAAATAACATCATGGGAAATCCTAACTAAAATCAATAGAACTTTATTCGGCACAAGATAAAACAGGGGGGAAAAAAGGGGGAAAAAAACACTTCCTTACGTGTTTCGGACCTCCAGGTCCTTAGACATAGGAATATCTCATATAGGTAATGAGCCCTTTTAAATCTCCCACTAAACCCAATACAAACGAAACTCTGCCCCACTACTAAAATCTTAAAGGACCACTATAGTGTCAGGAAAACATACTCGTCCCGCCGGACTCTGGGGAGAGGAAGGGGTTAAAATCTTACCTTTCTCCAGCGCCGGGCAGGGAGCTCTCCTCCTCCTTCATAGCGACGTCATCGGCTGAATGCGCATCATTCAGCCAGTTCAATGGAAAGCATTTACAATGCTTTCCTATGGACGCTGGCGTCTTCTCACTGTGATTTTTCACAGTGAGAAGCACGCAAGCGCCTCTAGCGGCTGTCAATGAAACAGCCACTAGAGGCTCTAGAGGCTGGATTAACCCTATTATAAACATAGCAGTTTCTCTGAAACTGCTATGTTTATAAAGAAAAGGGCTAACCCTAGCTGGACCTGGCACCCAGACCACTTCATTAAGCTGAAGTGGTTTGGGTGCCTATAGTGGTCCTTTAAAGGTGCACAAACCAAACATAAACAAAAACAATGTTAGCTCCATCTAGAGGCTGCTGGCAAATATACTGGTGAGTATGGAAAGACAAAACACCTCACATTAGAATGTTTATCCGGCTCAAGAAAAATAAACACATAAGAATAGAAACAGCAGCATATCCTTACTAAAATATATATATAAGGAGGGGGAGAAGGGACAGACAATATATAAAGGTTTTTAAAAAAATATATATATAAAAAATTAATAAATCATTAAATAT